TATATATATATATATTGTTATAATATATACATATATGGTTAATTTCAAATTATTTTGATCTGGTGTAGCATATACACAACCAATCAAAAGTTTGGGATCAGTACGATTTTTTTCTAAATGTTTCCGAAAGAAGTCTCTTATGCTCATCATGGCTGTATTTATTTGATCAAAAATACAGCAGAAACAGTAATACTGTAAAATATTACTACATTTTAAAATAACTGTTTTCTATTTGAATATATTTAAAAAAAATTGTGCTCACTTTTGATCAATTTCATGCATTCTTGCTGAATAAAAGAATACATTTCTTAAAAAAAAATAATAATAATAATTTTAAAAAATCTTACAGACCCCAAACTTTTAAACGCATTGTATATATTGCATATTCAAATTCAATACAGCACATCTCAAAGTTTGAAAACTCAAAAGAAAGAGATGAATGACACCTCATGCCCTTTACAGAATAAACAGAAAAGATCCATGAAGAAAAGCCCAGAGGGTTAAAAGAAAACAAAGTGCATGCAAAGATTTAAAGACTTTTATTTCAAAAGAAAACTTTAGCAATACAGAAACAAAGCAAAAGAAAAGCAGACATTAATAAATAAGTGAAAATACAAGCATGTGCATGATGTTAGTAATTAGCAGGATGCAGGAGAGAAGAACAAGCACTTTCTCATGAAGTCAAAGAAAAACAAGGAAAAGAACAATCTTCAGTCTGTCAAAAAATGAATCTGCAATGATTAAATTTCAAGGACCTCCTCCCCAAATGTCCATGATGATACTGCAATGCCTCACATGGCAACTCATCTAACTGACCCCAATTTATAACTGAAAATATTTTCAGGAGTTTTGTTTGGGAAAATGAGCTGTTTGGGGACAAAAATGTAATCTATTGACAGATTTTTTTAATCACAAGCCTATTTTTCTCTTCTCCTCATAGGATAGCAATAGTACTTTAAAGCTAGATTTAAATCTCAGAACAGGAGGACATTAAAACCATTTCCTCCTTTTAGCCAAAGCATATGTTTGCATGTCCTTGTGCACAATAACTAACAATCAGAGGTCACCTGAGAGCCTGTGATGTGGATAGCGGTGATACCGGTGGGCTGCGGCCAGGGTCTCGGGTTCAGAGGCCCTGCGGGGAAGCGGTCTGTAGCGGGACACATGGTACGGTACAGGAACTGGGCATACCTGAGCAGGCGAGCGCTCCACAGCACGCAGAACCACCAGCTGGATGGTTCCTCTGAGGTTCCCTTCAGTCGACATGGAGTGCCGCAGGGTTTCCATGGCCTCATGGTTGGAGCGTCCGAGCAGCGATTCGCTATTAACCGCTATCAGCTGGTCATTGATACGCAAGCGACCGTCCTGCAAACCAGAGAAGACAGACACCAATGTTGAGAAATTATAGGAAGCAAACCTCTACAAAAAAAAAGCCTTTCTAACAAGTTTTAGCTAATAGCTACACTAAACCTCACCTTAAAGAGAAGCTAAATTCATTTTAAATATCTTACATTTTTATTAGTCTTATAATTAGCATTATTGCATCCCAAATAGTACTAGTTATAGACAGATTAATAGAATAAAAGCTCTAAAATTTTTACTGTAATACTAATAGACAGTGAGAGAGAGAACGAGAGAATGAATGCAGATATAGAATTTACCTAAAGATTCAGTGCAGCGTTTAAAAATAAGTACAAAAACTAAACTACAAACCATAGTACTAGTTACAGACACATTAATCAGATTAAAAGATCTTACATTTTTACTATAATAATGTACCATGTATCTTTTACCAATTAATTCAGTTAAAAAGTATATAATAATAAAAAAATAAAAAAATAAATAAAATTACAAATCACACTGGTAGTTAAACACATTAACAACATTAAAATATTTACATTTTTGCTATAATAAGGTATATAATTTACTAATAAATACAATGGTGTGTTTAATAATGTAGAAACTAAAAAAGTAATATAAAAACAAAAGAACACAAACACACTTTACTAAGTAAAAAAAAATACAAATAATTTCACAGTTCTAGCTAAAGCCAGATTAATCTGATTAAAAGCTCTTAAATTTTTATTTGTCTTATGATTTGTATTATTGCATCCCAAATAGTACTAGTTATAGACAGATTAATGGAATAAAATCTCTAAAATATTTACTGTAATACTAATAGACAGTGAGAGAGAGAACGAGAGAATGAATGTAGATATAGAATTTACCTAAAGATTCAGTGCCGTATTTAAAAAAACGAAACTACAAACCATAGTACAAGTTATAGATACATGAATCAGATTAAAAGATCTTACATTTTTACTATAATAATGGACGATGTCTTTTACCTATTAATTCAGTTTGCATTTAAAATTAAATATAAAAGTAAATAAATAAATAAACAAATAAATAAATACCAAGAAAACAAAACTACACAAAAAATATTTACATGTTTTCTATAATAAGATATATTATTTACTAATAAATACAATGGTGTATTTAAAATTAAATAAAAATGCAATACAAAAAAAAACTAAGTAAAAAAAAACAAATCATATCACAATTCTAGTTAAAGCCAGATTAATCTGATTAAAAGCTCTTACATTTTTATTAGTCTTATGATTTGCATTATTGCATCCCAAATAGTACTAGTTAAAGACAGATTAATGCAATAAAAACTCTATTTTACTGTAATACTAATAGACAGTGAGCGAGAGAACGAGAGAATGAATGTAGATATATAATTTACCTAAAGATTCAGTGCAGCGTTTAAACAAAAATAAACTACAAAACATAGTACTAGTTATAGATACACTAATCAGATTAAAAGATCTTACATTTTTACTGTAATTATGGATGATGTATCTTTTACCTATTAATTCAGTTTGCATTTAAAATTAAATATAAAAGTAAATAAATGAACAAATAAATCAATAAATAAATAAATACCAAGAAAACAAAACTACATAAAAAAAATATTAAAATATTTACGTTTACATGTTTTCGATAATAAGATATATTATTTACTAATAAATTCAACAGTGCATTTAAAATTGTAAAATTGTTCACAAAATTAAATAAAAATGGAATACAAAAAAAAAACTAAGTAAAAAACACAAATATTATCACAGTTCTAGTTAAAGGCAGATTAATCAGATAAAAAGCTCTTAAATTTGTATTATTTTATAAAACTATACTATAATATTAAAAGGTATAGAATTATATATATTCACAGCAGCATTTAAAATATTAAATATTGAAAAACTAAACTTAAAAATAAATACAAAATAAACAAATTAATTAAAACAAATAAAATAAGAATAATAAATAGGATCACAATTATGATTACAGCATTAAAGTTAAAGCTTTTAGTCTGTTTTGTGAATTAATTGTTCTTTTGAACTTATTTTCAATGAACCACCACTATTTTGGGGGGTAAATCTGTTATGACTAAATTACTGTCACACTGAAACATGTAGTTAAGTTAGGACCACCGCTACGTTTAGCTAGCTACTCCCAACACTAAAGCCCTATAGTGTGATTTAAAAACATTTATGCAGTGTAGCCCCACTGTTAAATGTTTAATGCATCCCACTATGAATTCAGACACAATTACGGATGCATATCATTAGCGTGAAAGGGTCGGGCTGGAATGAATTGGATTAAGGTTCACAGCTGTGGTTTCCTAAATAAAACTGAGCTGAGGAGGAACAAAAGAGATTAGCAGCTAAAAGCCACTGGAGCCGCTAAAGACTGCTGAGAGTCTGTGTCACGGCGGATGATCCTGACCCCTGGGCGAGGTCACTGACCGCAGACCACCGATACTGACCCGGGAGGGGGTCTCCGGCAGGACGGACACAAACACTTGCGCCCATCTATTGAGAAACTATACTCATGCATACATAAGCAGACAGTCTGGAAGCTCGCAACCTAAGACGGCCTTGTGAAAGACGCTACCTCATAAAGAGCTCTAAAGATAACCTACGACATGTTTTTCTTCATTACTTTGTATTACGATAATTTATTCCAGAAATTAGGATGGAGCTTTTTTTATATATTCATGCTCATTTGATCTCAATCTTGGAGTGTAAATGTTAGAGGAGCAGCAGAAAGTGTGAGAGAGAGAGTGAGTGTGATAAGGGTGAACGGCAGAAGTCAAATGAAGAGCTCAGCCTTTGAAAATGCCTATTTCTTTGAGCGTCTCTCTGATGGGGTCTGTGACGCAGCTCGCTCTCTGAGCCCACTCTCCACTGGAGTGCTGATAGGGGCCAGAGACGCAGCTCCACCTGTGAGCCCACTCTTGATTACAGTGCTGATAGGAGACAGTAGATGTGCTCTTATCTGCACACAGACACAACACCTGCTGCCTGACTGGATTGATTGCGGAGAGAAGAGGAGAGGAGTATTCATATTTCTATAGCGGCACTAGGTGAGGTTAACCTGTAATAACGGACACGGCATATCCCAAACCAAAATGATAAAGCTTAATAGGCTATGAAAAAGGCCACTTTTCATAAATCATCTTTTTTTTCAGTTTGGGGCCACTTTGGGTGAATCAAAATTACCATACTACAGTATATTCGTATGTTTGTATTATTGGTTCTCCAAATCATAGTAGTAGTTACAGACAGATTAATCTGACAATATTTGGATTTTAACTTCAACCGTCAACTATGCCTTATCAATGTACATTTTTGTATCTATGTCCAATATGTTATTGTAAATGTCTTATTCATATTATGTTAACCAATAAGCTTGAATTAGTTAATGCAATAGCTAACATAAAATAACATGAAAATGTTTTCCCAGTGGTGTTATCATTAACTAAAACTAATAAAACTTGTTGTTTTTGTAAAATAAAATAAAATAAAATAAAATAATTTAGTCACAACTAACCAAAATAAAACAAAGTTGTAAAACTTTGTTTTAATGTTTTAATGTTGTAAAATTTTACAACATTAATTTATTATCCTAATGTTAATTTTTACATATACGATTCTTTATGTATTTTTTAACAAACTGCATAAACATCGTGTTATGAACAATAGTATATTTATATATTTATAATGGTATATGTATTTAGTTATTAATTTTTAAAGGTAAAATAATGTATTATGAACAACAGTATATTTACATATAACAGTATATTATATTTATAATAGTGCATGTATGTTTTTATTTATAGACATTTTAAAGGTTTTTAGTAGTTTTCAGGCATAAATTACAACTGTATGCCATTGTGTAAAGAAATACACAGGATTGGAGCGACTTTCATGATTGGAGCTCTCAGATGAATGGACGTGGGGTGAATGGGCTGCTCTTTACCTTGTGTGCGGCACCGCCGTGGATGATGGACTTGATGAAGATGCCCAGGTCTTCCCCGGTCTCTCGGGACTTATTACCCTTCAGACTGACCCCTAGACCAGCTGAGCCGGAGTCACTCAAAGGAACTTCAAACATCAGCTGCTCTCGCCCGTCCTCCGAAAGCAGCAGACCTGATGGCTCTCCTTTCTGCAAATAACACACACACACACACTTAGGGCTGTATCTCAGTTGACTTTCAAAATCATGTGAATCTTAGCATTTATCCCAGTTCAACATCGTACCCCACTGCCTACAACTGCATTACTGCACATGTCATTTTTGCTTGCGTTTGCAAACTACGAGAAGAGTGGAAATTATTGTCAGTGGTAATCGACGGTATGTCACAGATGCTCGATAGAGTTTAACACTTATTGAACCTGGAACACTCCAATAAGATAATGGATGAAGTGATTTTCATCTAAATCTTGAGATGAATGAATATTAGCCTACCTTTAAGAGTTTAGGGCTCAGTCAGATTTTTTTATATTTTTGAAAGAAGTCGCTTATGCTCAGAAAGGCTGCATTTATGTGATCAAAAATACAGTAAAAACAGAAATACTATTACAATTTCAAATAACTGCTTTCTATATTAATACATTTAAAATGTAATGTATTCCTTTGATTCAAAGCTGAATTTTCAGCATCATTAATCCAGTCTTCAGTGTCACAGAAATCATTCTAATATACAGATTTGCTGCTCAAGAAACATTTCTTACTATTATTGATGTTGAAAACAGTTGCTTAATATTTTTGTGGAAACAGGTTAATTTTTTCAGGATTTGTTGATGAATAAAAACTTCAAAAGGACATTCAAAGAAAAAAAAAAAAAGAGAGATTTTAGAAATGGATCCCAGTTCAAATAAAGCCAGATGTACCGAGTGGATGAGGAAGGAATAATGATGGATGAATATATAAAGCAGGGTTAGGACAGAATTAATGCATGTCTAATGGAAAGGCAGGAAAACACGTTGGGGGTCATTTGATTTGAACGTGAAAGAGTGAGATCATGAGAACGTGCCAGTTCAAAAGGAAACATAATAAGCTTTTGTCAGAGATTCATTTAGGAGGATGGGGGTTGGGGAACGACATCGTTTTAGACTAATAACTCATTATTGAGCATACTTACGCACACACACTCACAACTACCCACACATTTCACTTCTCTCTTTGCTTGCTTTGGCTTCAAAATATCATATCAAAGAGACCAAGGGTGTCAGTGCCATGGTCTTTGACCTTTTCTCCACATCATTTCCTTCTTCTCGCCACTATCGCATCAATAAAACATGGCAAAATAGCCTAGAATAAAGTGCGATGGCTAAACGTGACCGACATCGTTCTGGAAACCACATTAAGCAACAGCATTAGCCTGTTGGTAAGCTCCTGTGGAAATGGGCCAGGAAGTAAAAGAAACAAAAATGACTTTGTAGGAACACAAAGTTGGGCAAAAAGCATTAAGCAAGAGCTAACGATGAAAAATAGGAGGGCCAATGGGGCAAAGCTTCAAGTAGTCCTTTTAGCCCATCCTCTTACTGATGATAATGTGTCGTACATGGCCTGAGGCGGACAACAAATCAGAGTTTTAGCACACAATAAAAGGCCTGTTTGTAAGTGAGGTCAAACTTTGGTCCCAGCGAGAATATCAGATTGTCTGAGATGCCGCTCTGGTGGTCCTATCAACACTCCAGGCCCAGACTTCACATGAAGACCTCCTGAGGGCAAATACACACTCACATGCTCTCACAGACACAATATGATAGACTGTTTTAACTAAAGTACATGAGTAAAAGCTGGCAAAAAAGGTCAGTGGCACTGGAATGTAAAAAAAGAATCCGCGTCAGGAATACGTGGAGAAAGATAAACAGCTTTGACTTGACAGATAAAAACAGGCCTATGGGCAATGCAAATAAAAACATATTTGGGCGCTTGCAACTATTTTAATATTAGTATTAGTAATTATCATTCATATTAACTGCAATTATTATTATTATTATTATTAATCATTATTAATATCAAAACATTATACTTAAAGGAACACTCCACTATTTTTGAAAATAGGCTCATTTTCCAACTCCCCTAGAGTTAAACAGTTGAGTTTTACCGTTTTCGAATCCATTCAGCCGATCTCCGGGTCTGGCGGTAGCACTTTTAGCTGCAGCTTAGCATAGATCATTGAATCTGATTAGACCGTTAGCATCTCGCTCAAAAAAGACCAAAGAGTTTCTATATTTTTCCTATTTAAAACTGGACTCTTCTGTAGTTACATCGTGTACTAAGACCGACGGAAAATGAAAAGTTGCGATTTTCTAGGCCGATATGGAAATATATGAAATATAGAGTATATATGCAACTACACAAACTTAGTGCCGGTCAAGTTGGAAGTTACCTAACTGGGGACTATTTTTAGGCGCTGCGTAATATCATTGCGCCTGCTGCACCCATGGTACGGCAGCACAAACTGTTTAACTCTAGGGGAGTTGGAAAATGAGCCTATTTTCGACCCGGAGATCGGCTGAATGGATTCGAAAACGGTAAAACTTAACCGAAATGAGCCTATTTTCAAAAATAGTGGAGTGTTCCTTTAATATTAATAGGTTATATATTATAGAAATAGCAATTAACAACTGTATTAATAACAATTAACGTCAATATTAAATAATATTAATATCACTTATTAATATCATTGTCAATTGAAAAGTATTAATAAATTAGTATTAACTGATAATATTATTAAGTAATAATATTAATAGGATATTACATATTACACTAATAGGAATTATTTCAGTATAAAGAGCATTTAATATTGATCAATTGATAATATTAATAATTTTTTAATTAATATTAATACTACTTAATATGCACTAACTATAATGTTATACATAATTAATATTAACAGTAACTAACATTACTATTATTTCTTATTTTTCTTCAAATAATAATAATAATAATAATAATATCAAAATGAATACCTAATAGGAGTAAACATTATTAAAATCAATGCTAATAATTAATATGAATATAGGATAAAATATATTATACTACTGGGACATATTAACATTAGAGATAATTAACTAATAATATTAACATTAATAAATGTTATCAATATTAATATTACTAATTAATAATGACATTATATAAAAATTACATAGGGAAGCCTGTTTCTGTCACTGTCAAAAAAAAAAGGTTATTGCAACTTTTTATCTTACATTAGATTTTTTCTAAGAATCTCATGATGTAAACTCACAATTCCGAGTTCCGAGGTACAATTCTGAGGGGGAAAAAAATACAATTGCGAGTTTATATCTTAATTCTGACTTTATAACCCACAATTACATATTATAAAGTCAGAATTGTGAGATGTAAATTCGCAACTGGGTGGAAAAAATTCAGAATAATCAGTCGCAATTACCTTTTTTTATTTTATTTAGTGGTGGAAACAAGCTTCCATACAGGCAAAACTGATACTTCAATGAAACATAACATTGTTATCCGGGAAGCCTTTTTCTGTCATTTTAAAAAAAAAAAGGTTATTGCAACTTTTTATCTTACATTAGATTTTTTCTAAGAATCTCATGATGTAAACTCACAATTCCGAGTTCCGAGGTACAATTCTGAGGGGGAAAAAAATACTATTTTCTTTCAATTGCGAGTTTATATCTTAATTCTGACTTTATAACCCACAATTACGTATTATAAAGTCAGAATTGTGAGATGTAAATTCGCAACTGGGTGGAAAAAATTCAGAATAAGCAGTCGCAATTACCTTTTTTAATTTTATTTAGTGGTGGAAACAAGCTTCCATACAGGCAAAACTGATACTTCAATGAAACATAACATTGTTATCCTGATCATTTTCCATTTTATAATAGTTGAGCAACAAATACCCTCTTCCTCTTCTTCTGGAAGCAGTCCTATAATACCCTACCAAATTCACAAAGAAAAAAGCTGCAACACAAAACCCAAACTTTGATCAATTTACCGCACTAATCGAGAAAATGTAATGTGATTCACACAGCATTTTGAGAGGAAGTCTTTGTGTCATTTACACAAAAATAATGCATGGGAAATGTGTTTTGATGCCCCTGGCTAGAAGTCAATGCACCTTAACCCAGATACTGAACTAAATTAGTATTGATGTCAGAAGGCCGTTTGCTATTACATGAAAGCATCTACAGTTTTTATATTACGCACAGTTTTTTTTAAAAAGAAGTGGCCGTGACCCAAATAACAAATATAATTAAATGGGTCATGACAAAGCAGAACACATCCTGTGTGTAGGAAGAGGAATTATTATTAAGACCATCTCAAGGACATCTAAATGCTCCACCAGCCCTGTGACCGACCTCTCTTCCTGTGAGTACAACTGTGTGCAATGTGCTGTCTGACCCCTCCATCCTCACAGAAAACCTGTCTGAATCAAACACCAAACTCTACAGACCCTTCAGAGTCCACATTATGATCGTAAATTGGTTACAAAAATACATATTCCGCTTTTACAGCAAACTTCCTGTGAGAATATCACATTACAGTGGTGATATTAGATAGACTAAAGAGTGGACTTTAGATCATTTATCTTAAATATAAGTGTACCTTGTCAAGTGAAACACCACAAAAATCACTAAATATAGACCATTTATTATTATATTAAAGACATTTTTGCTGTGCACGCTGGAAAGATCTAAAAGCATGTCTAGTGGGCACAAAAAAGAAAAATCTTACATTACAATTTAATTTGATGTTTGGTTGATTTATTGCTACTGGCTATCAGATATAATTAATATGTTGCTGCAGACATTAATTCCACCTACTGCATTCATTTACCCTCACAGTACATGACAAATTGATGCCAAATCCAGTCAGCTTATCTTTAATGCAATGGCGATATTTAGACATTTACAGTTTGCCAAAGCAATCTCATTAATATACATTTACACGACAAGCCCACAGATTCTTGCATTTGTCTGATAATTGAAAACTCATTTCTACACAACAATTCAAAAGAAAAATATGCGAATCCACCAGAAGTTTATGAAATACTTATATCTATTTAAAAATAAATGTATATATTCCAATGTCTATTTTTTATTTATTAATTGTTAATTAAGTAGTAATGATATTAATAACATTTATTTTTTTATAAATAAATAAAA